TTGCTTTGGCTGGAGGGGAAGGTGGAGCTGTATTACCAGAAGATGGTGCCACTGTTTTGACTGGTGGTGATGTAGAAGTCTTGTCAGACACGGTCCGGATTGAGTCTAACATACTGGTTTGTGCTGTTTTTACTGGAGCTGTCACAGTTGTAGATGTAGCTGGAGGGGTCTGCTTGGGCGAAGGTGGAGCTGGGGAGGTCTGCTTGGGCGAAGGTGGAGCTGGGGAGTTTTGCTTGGGCGAAGGTGGAGCTGGGGAGGTTTGCTTGGGCAAAGGTGGAGCTGGGGAGGTCTGCTTGGGCGATGGTGGAGCTGGGGAGGTCTGCTTGGGCGAAGGTGGAGCTGGGGAGGTCTGCTTGGGCGAAGGTGGAGCTGGGGAGGTCTGCTTGGGGGAAGGTGGAGCTGGGGAGGTCTGCTTGGGGGAAGGTGGAGCTGGGGAGGTCTGCTTGGGGGAAGGTGTAGCTACAGGGGCCTGTTTAGGCGAAGCTGTAGCTTGAAGGCTCTGCTTGGGTAAAGATGGAGCTGGGGAGGTCTGCTTGGGTAAAGATGGAGCTGGGGAGGTCTGCTTGGGGGAAGCTGTAGTTGGAGGGGTCTGCTTGGGTGAAGCTGTATCCAGACTCGATACAGGATGACTGGAGGGTGTGGAGGCTAGAGAGGCTTGTGGCAAGTCCTTCACAAGAGAAGCAGTTGGAGGTGATGTCATTGCAGTGGTGACTTGTGGTGTAATACTAACTGTTACAGACACTGTGGTAGCAGCTGTTGTGAGCGTTGGGGTGGGGTCTTTAACAGCTTTGGAAGATGACGTAGTGGGTGGAGTGGAGTGTGTAATTGGTGTGGTTGTGGTGGTGGTTGCCTCCACAGCTGGTTGAACAGCAGCATCTGAAACTGTGGAAACCACAAGTGTTGGTTTAACACCTGGAGGAGGAGGTGGGACATCGCTGACAGGTGGTGACGGAGCTGTGTTGCTGACGGGGGTGGAGGTATACGTGGAAGAAGAGAGGACTGGTGCTGGGGCTGGACTTGGAGCTGGGGCTGAAGCAACCACTTGGGAAGAGGCAGGCTCAGAGATCAGTGAGGTCACCTGGGGTGCAGGTGAAGTGGGAAGTGAGACGGGTGTGGAAACTTCATCTGACTTTGTTGAGGAGGCTGGATTTGGAGGCGGGGCCAAAGCCTCAGTTTTAGTGTCTGTCTGATCAGCTTTGGTCGACTGTGAAGACCGAGTCATTTCAAAAATAGCAGCAGGAGGCGGGGTCTCTGAGATCGTCAGTTCTGTCCTGGAATCAGTTTTTGATAGATTAGAGTTCTGACTCTCATTAACGGTCTCTAACGTGGTCGCTGAGTCCTTGCGGGGACGACCCCTCTTACGTTTAGGGGACAGTGGCGGGATTCCTTCCTCAATTGCCGAGATGGGATGTGGGGATGTGGTCGATGCGTTGTCAAGTTCAGGTAGTCTTGTGGGAGTCTTAGGGGGCCGGCCCCTCTTTCTTTTCAAAGGTGGCATGAGAGAGTTCACGCTGGACTCCGCAGCAGAGGCGGAAGCAGCGTCTCTGCCTGGTGGGATGTCCGTTTTCTTGGACTGGTTCGCTCCCCGTCCTCGCCCTAGATGCTGCTCTCCCATCTGGGCAGCCATACGAGATTCGGTTTCCAATCTGCGCCGCACGGGAAGATTCCTCAGCACTGGCATGTCAGGAGACAGATGAGGAGGGGAATATGGAGGATAGCCTCTGACAGGCTGAGGGTGCACAGGCGGACTTGGGGTAGCGTCTTGGTCCAGAGGGGATTTGCTAACAGTCTCTTTAGTTTTGCCATCTGGGCTCGGTGATGCGTCCTCTTTGTTTGGCTCGTCAACAAATCCAGCACCGCTGTCCTCCGCCGTTGCCTCTTCTGAAGAGCAACCACCTCCTGTCCCACTTCCTCGCCGCCGCCTCTTTCGTGGCTCTTTCTCTTCCACCACTGTGACTAGCCGGCCCGGGAGCTTCCGCAGAACTTTGGCTGATGGTGAATCTTCAACCAGTCCCCGCAGCACTTCTCCGTCAGCTGACTGCCGCTTGCGAGGCGACCGTGAGCTGGTGGAGGGAGGAGACATGGCGCAGTCTTTACTGTCATCATCCTTAGTCTGATGATCCGCCGGACAGCTGGACTCCAGCGATGACTCAGACGCCCTCCTCTCCTTCTCCACCTCCTTCTCCTCCCTCCCCGTTCTGGAGATTTTACTGTCCGTCTCCCCAGCACACTGCTGTTTCCCACCAGGGGGCGAGGCTGTAGGAGGGGAAGGCACTGGGCTGGGATGGGAGCGGTTTGGTTGAGTCCTGGTTTTGGCGTTATGGTGATCTCTGGCGGGAGATGACGCTTTCGAAGATTTGGAGGAATCTTGAACCCGGGTGGATGATGACGTTTTGTGGTGGTCTGTGCGGGATGGGATCGTAGACACAGAACCTGTGTCTTTGGCAGCTCCTCGTCCTCTCAGACCTGAGCGGGATCTTTCAGGCACTTCTCTGGGAGTCGTGGGCTCAGGCTCAGTTTCAGGCGAGGCCCCACGGAGTCGGCCGCTAGTCCTTGTAGAGGTGGCAGTCTTGTCCTTGGGTTTACGACCACGGCGGGCTGGAGCTGGATGGGCGGGTTCGGCAGAAGTTGGTGTTGACAAAAAGTCGTCCTCGTCATCATCAGATGATGTGTGGAGCTTCAGACCCTCCTCCTTTGCCTGGTCCAGACCCTTCCTGGCAGCCTCCACCTGTTCCTAAACACACAAGAGGAGAAGATTTTCTTTAAAGTTTTATCAAGTTAAAAATGTTTGACTTAAACCGAAATCAAATATTTTCTAGTTCTAGTTCCTGCTTTTCCCTTTGTTGTCTAAATTACT